CCAAAGTGTTATAATGACTTATAAAAAAATAAAAGTGGATGTGTGTGCGTGCAAACTCACAAACTTGCACATCACAAACAAACAAATGGACGAACGAGCGAACAAACGAACGAACGAACGAATGAACAAGACCTTTTATTCGATAAATCCGATTTTATTAAAAATAGGGCACTTCTTACAAGCTAATAAGGTAGAGAAATTGAAAACGAAACGTGAAATTCAAATTTGAAAATTAAGGAAAATTATTTCGAATTGAATTAAAAATAAAATTTAAAATAATATTATATTTTTGCTGATGAAATATAATTAAATTTATCAAAAATTTGAAATAAAAATGAAATCATTCAATAATAAAGTTTGTAGACTGTTTAACATATAATTTGTTTAATAAAAATTTAAGATAAATGTGTGTGTGTTTGTGTTTGTGTTTGTGTGTGTGTGATTGAATGAATGAATGAATGAATGGATGAATGAATGAATGAATGAATGGATGAATGAATGGATGAATGAATGGATAAATGAACGTAAGAACAAACGAACGAATGAATGAACGAACGAATGAATTAATTAATTAATTAATGAAGGAATGAATGAAGGAATAAAAACAAAATGCAAGAGCAAAAGTACAAATAAATGAATGAACGAATAAATATGTGCAAATGTGAAAGAAATATTTTTAAAATTCCAAAGGAAAAATTAAACTGTCCCGAAGGGGATTGCTTGAATGAAAGAATGTGTGGATGGATGAATGGATGGATAGATGGACGTTTGGATGAATGGATGAATGAATGAATTAATTAAAAAACGTGTGAATGAATGAATGAATGATAAAATAGATGAATGAACGAAGAAATGAAGGAACGAACGAAGAACAAGCAAATGAATTAATGAATGAATGAAAGAACATTCAGATTGATGAATGGATGAATAAATGAATAAACGAATGGTTGAACAAATGACATAATGAATGAACGGCAAACAAACAAACAAACAAACAAACAAATAACAAAACAGAAAAAAAACAAAAATTAAACAAAATAAACAAAATAAACAAAAAATAAAAAGACGTGTATGATGATGTAAAGTGAAAAAATTATGATCGTATGTCTTGTGCCTGTGACTTTGCATAATTATTTATTCAAATCATTATCATCGTCGACTACTGTCATCATCACCATCATCACCGACTACTGTCATCATCATCATCATCATCGTCATCATCATCGTTGTCATCATCATCACCTTCATTGTCGCTTGCAGTATCATCATCATCATCACCGTGGGTATCAACCATATAACCATAATTGTTATCATCGTCGTCTTCGTCATTATTACCATCATCATCGTCGTAACCACCATCATCATCACCATCATCATCATCGAAACCATCATTATCAAAACCATCATCATTATCACCATCATCATCACCATTCTCGCCATCATAATCTGTTATCATCGTCGTCGTAATCATCATCGTCACCATCATCATCATCATTGTTTCTTAAATCCGTGGTTAGATCCTGACCAGAAGATTGGACCGCGAGGCAGCAGACGAGCACACCCTCCAGATACTCGCAATCGACAGGGGCTCGCCCGCCAAAACAGGGTCATGTGACGTCATCGTCAAGGTCATTTGCCTTTGCTGTTGTTGTTATCGATGTTGTTAGTTGTGATGTTGTTGTTTCTGGTAGAGATGGTGGTGGCTTTGTTGGCGTGGTGGTGGTGGTGGTGGTGGTGGTGGTGGTGGTGGTGGTGGTGGTGTTTGTCAATGTTTTATATTTTTAAATATTCATCGTCGATGTTTAGATTTAAATAATAATAATAAAAACAAAAGCAACAATAATAACAATTAAGAACACTCACACATCTTAGCACTTTTGTTTTTTTCAAAAACTGTTCGACCTTGACATTGAAATCGTTGAAGGTGAAGGACTCGAATGACAACGCCCCACAATTCGAGGTCGAAGATTACGAGGTCACACTGCCTGAAAATGCACCCCTGATGACTGTTGTGGCGAGAGTCCAAGCTACTGACAAGTGAGTGAGTGAGTGAGTGAGTGAGTGAGTGAGTGAGTGAGTGAGTGAGTGAGTGAGTGAGTGAGTGAGTGAGTGAGTGAGTGAGTGAGTGAGTGAGTGAGTGAGTGAGTGAGTGAGTGAGTGAGTGAGTGAGTGAGTGAGTGAGTGAGTGAGTGAGTGAGTGAGTGAGTGAGTGAGTGAGTGAGTGAGTGAGTGAGTGAGTGAGTGAGTGAGTGAGTGAGTGAGTGAGTGAGTGAGTGAGTGAGTGAGTGAGTGAGTGAGTGAGTGAGTGAGTGAGTGAGTGAGTGAGTGAGTGAGTGAGTGAGTGAGTGAGTGAGTGAGTGAGTGAGTGAGTGAGTGAGTGAGTGAGTGAGTGAGTGAGTGAGTGAGTGAGTGAGTGAGTGAGTGAGTGAGTGAGTG